TTGGAAATATTAAGTAAAAGCTCTGTAATCGTCTGTGCCCTGTAGGTTTATTGCGGGGCTGGGTTTGGAGGCGCGAGGCAACTCGGGCAAATGGGTTGTGTAGCCGGGGAGGGGGCAGAGTGTCAGAGAGCCTTTTTTTGTCCAGGCTGTCAAACTATGGATTATTTTTGAGCGATAATTCATAGTTTTCTCTTCCAAATTATGGAAGTAAACTTATCAGGAGAGAAGGGAATGTCCTCTTCTAGAAGGTTTTAGAGAAAAACTTTTTTTTACCAATCTTAACTCATGAAAAATGCACAACTATGTCTTCTACCTAGTAACATGTTGATAGCTTCTCACATGACAATATCATATTTGAATCATTTTTGTTGGTATGGATCTTATCAAGTTGTAGCTAGTATCTTTTTTTTTGGAAAGTTCGCCCCGGGGAGAGATTCCCCACCTGAATTTTTATTTCAAGAAGGGGCAGCCCCTAGGATATTGTTACAACAAAGCGACAAAAGGAAACATGGAGAGGGAGAGGGCTTGGAGGTAGTTACATAAAACACTTGAGGATTTAAATGGAAGCAACCAAGACAGTGGTCGATCTCACCTTGGTGGATGGCTAGCATGCAAGGCCTCCAGAGAACAACCATGTTACGAATTTTTGAAGAGAAGGGGAAGCGGTGGTTCGAGGCCACTCGCGAAAGACAACTCCGTTTTGGTGCTTCCAAAGTTGCCAGCAACATAGTCACACAAGTGCAAATATACGTCACTGGGCGACGGTGGCCGAGACATCTAGGATATGGAGTTGCCGAATATCGACATCGTCCGGGACAAACATCAAGCACATCCCAAAAACAAGAAGTGAAGGGGCAGGAGAAAATCAGATGGTTTGCCGTCTAAATGGCGACATTGCATAGGGGGGAGGGGGGCGTCTAGCACCGGTAGCATCAAAGATTTTCTTCCGAAAAGGACATCTCGCATGTGGATTCTAGCCTCGACCAGGAGCCAGCGAAAGTAACACACCCACGAAGGGCTGCGACTGAGCCATACGAAGTCGGCAAATGGTCTGACCTCCCCGCCAAAACAATGCATGCCTTAGAAGGCAGACGTAGCCGACACATCCGTGGTGCCAGCGCAACGAGTGAGGGCGGCGGCATGGAAGGTGTTAGGCGGGCTTTAGTGGGCCTTTTAGGCATGTCTTGCTGATCAATGGTGGGCACATCTTTGCACTCGCCACTAGTAATTGATTATCGGTGAAGGGCAACCCTTCTGACCCGCCACTGGCAATCATTACCAGTTGTGATTACCATTGGTGGGCGTTTCCTAGGGCCTGCCACCATTTATTTTTTCCATTTTTTGTAATGTTAGAATAAGTATTTTAGGAATAGATCTATGGTCTATTTTTTTAATATTGTAACTATACCACTAAAAGTTGCATGTAAAATTTTGGCAATATTTAGGTTTAAGTTTCTTTTGTTAGGGCATTAAATGAATTTCTTGGTATTTAGTGGAGGTAAACATTTTTTGTTTTCTAAGTGAAAATGAAGTCTAGAAAATATGAAACTTGGCATGGAGTCATGGTATGAACTCTAGGCATTGTGTTTAATTTTTTAGTGAGTTATAGAAAAGTTGTGATGTACTTCACTTACAAATTGAAGCATCTTTAGGGAAGAAACTAGGTTTCAAGAGGGAATGAGCAAGTTTACATGTGAAGCGACCGCTGCTTCGCCGGTTGGACTTGGGTTTGTTTTCACACTCAACATACACCATTGCATGTATCATGTCAAAATTTGGTATTTTTGGGGCCTGTTTGCTATATTTAAGCCATTAAATGCATTCCTAGACTTTTAATTAATGCAATTCAAATTTGAACTATAGGTACATGACATAATCGTTAGGAACGGGCTGATAGAATCTTATTGGTGATATATAGTGTGTTTTTAGGCCTCATGTTATGAAATAGGATGACTCCAAGACACCATGTGAGCGAGACACACACCAACATGGTGGTTATTTGGATTTCAATTCCAAAAGATTTAAACAAATCATGAAAATCATGAAACTTGTAAAAAAAATAGTGTTATGATATGACCAATAGATGATGCGATAAAATTTTGAGACTGTCTCACAATTATTTCAGTATACTGCTTACAAAATTGAATATAGCAAACAAGTCCCAGGAAAGTCAGGTTTGCAAGTAATGTGACTATTGCCTTGGCGGTTGGCCTTGAATTTTTCTTACATCCCGCATACACCATTACATGTATCATGTAAAAATTTGGCATTTTTAGGGGTCTCCTTGTTATATTTAAGCCACTAAATGTATTTGTAGGCATTTTAATGGATATAATTCAGAACTGAATGTATGAAATAATTGTTATAAATGGGTTGAAAAATATTATAGGTGGCCTTTAGTGCATGTTTAGCCCTTACGTAAGGAAATAAGAGAAGTCCAAGACACCACGTGGTCGAGACTCATGTTCACAATGCGAGCATGGACACCAGTTCCAGTTCCGGTGCGAGCCGAAGAGTCGGCCATTTTATGGTTGTTTTTCCAATGCGAGTTATCGGTTACATTATGATAAATGACTTAATGTTGTATTTGTCGTACCCATACCTTTTTTACATCGGTATAAAAGATTTTGTTTAATCTTCACAAAATTGCATGTTTTTTCTTTTCTCATTTGAAAGTTTTTTTTAGCATTTTTATTTCACAATTGACGACCGCTTAACAAAGCCGCTCAGGCCGACTCATGGCCCATGTTGAATGTGCATGCGGGTACCCACCCTCCTCGGCCTATGTCGGGGCCTGAATATGCTTCTCTGCTATGTTGACCCATCCCAGCTGATCTCTTCCAGTCAACTCGCTCACAATGTCAGGAGGGTTCAGAGACCGTGGTTGGAGGGCTCTCAGCATGTGGTCACAGTGACAGGACTGTCGACATACTCCTTCATCACGAGTTACTTGGAGGACATTGCTGAATCAGCAAGGAAAGTGCATCGAGGTCGGGTTCAAGATATATGTTGATGCTGCTGTGGGACGCCATGAGGATGAGCTCCCGGAGGACACTTGGATTTTTTATTTTATTTTTTTTCCTTTATCATTTATCATTTTTTAATTTTCAAAATCCAAGTTTTTTTTTCAAATTCATGATTTTTTAAAATTCTTGAATTTTTTAAAATTGTAATTCCTAGATTTTTTTGTAGATTTTTGAAAATTCACAATTTATTTGAACATTTTTCCAAGTTCACTACTTATTTTAAAATTCATAAATATTCTTTCAAATTCGTGGACGTTTTTATAAATTCACCGATTATTTAAAGCCATGAACATGTTTTAGTTCACGGACCATTTCAAAATTAGTAACAGATTGGTTTCCATAAAACAGCGAACCAGTAGCAACAGAGAAATAAGAAGAAGAAAACAGCGTGCAGCGAACGAGCGGGCGGAGTAACGAGCGAACAGCGCAAAGTAGTGACCTTACTGCGCCGCGACCCATGCGGCGTGCGGTACCGACCATTTTTTCAAAATATAATAAAATATAGATGTGGCTAGGTCTCAGTCAAGTGACATAACATGAAAGAAAAAACTAAAAAAAATTTTGCACTTAAGGCTGAGACTTAAGAAAGTCTCAGTTGACTAAGACTTAACAAGACTCGTAAAATAAATTAGCGCTTAAGGCGCTGTAGAGGAGCTCTCGGACTATGCTACCACTGGAACTGGTGTCCATGCTTCCAAAACCATTACCATCAACCATAGAAGATAGAACATTCCAACTCAGTCCGGTCAAAAGGATGTACGTATATGCTACGTACACT